TTGAAAAATAAACATTAAGGAAAAAAATGTCTATTCTATATTGCTAAATGAAAATTTTGTTATTCCCAGTAACAATAATTTAATGATTGAGAAAAGGACTGATGAGCACTGTGGCAAAGGATGAATTATTGAGAAATATTTCTAGGGCCACACGACATTTCAATAACTTCTCATTTAAGCATAAGGTATCTAAGCATGAACATATGATCTATGTAATGAGATACACAGATACATTATTAAATAAAGGCAATGTTGTTGCAAAACGCTTTAATAAAACTAAAAGCAAAGTGCTCTCTTTTCTAAATGGATCATCAATAGTACTACCTGGACCATGACTACAATGAGAGTATTGAACCAGTCCTTTCCAATATCAGATGCAAAGAGAGGTGCAGAATCTATTTGTTACATATTGCGTGGATTCTCTACTTTCGCTATACCTCTTGTATTCAGAAGCTTCTGAATTATTAATATAAATACACTTGATACAAAAAGAAAAAAACTATTGCATAGTGTGTGTTGATGATGATAATGTTCAGCATTTTAAAAAAGCAAACATTAATCTGAGACAACATAAAATATGAACAGGGGGCAACCAAATCCATATATGCCGATTAATTCAGTCTCGGTCTTTGAAGTACTTATTAGCCACATACAAAAGAACTGCCCCACCAATGTTCTTTACTGATGATATCTCTGTGAAGAGATATTATTAGATTTTCCTACTCAAGAAGTTCAACTTCTTTACACTGTTTATATACCACCATTGCACCTTGGTCAAAATACTGCTTTAGAAAGCTTCATCGAAAGAAATATGTTGCTTTAAACCAGATAAATAATTTCTTTAATCCTATAACACAATATGTCACCAATACCCCAGAATTCCAAGACAACCGTAACTCAAAGTAGAATTTTATAACTGAAAGCCAAAAAATCAAAGCATCAGGTTCTTATAACATCAATTCTAGTTTTTCTTATAAAGGTCATTATAATTCATTCAGCCTGACAATTAGAATTTTGGAACCTAAAATGCTTACCATTTAGTTTGACAATCCAATTTTAGAATGCCACAGGTGCAGAAAATGCAAGCTACTAGAAATCAAGACAACAAGCATATCATTTATAGATCAAAAAGAACTCACCAACCCTTTTGCTCCCTGGAAACTTTCTTTGCAAAACCTTTATGCAGTCCTGCAGAAGTTCCCATAACATAAATTTCAAATTTTCGACATAATCATAGAGTGACGAGATTCATAAGAGAATCTCTGGCATATACGAACAACAGTGAACGTGACTTGAAAAATAGCTAATGCATTTTGGTGATTATGGTTGACTACATGGTCACATTTACTTCATTACTCGGTATATTTAACCACATAGCCAATATAAGTCCACCAATTGAGTAATTGTAAGTTTAACTCTGCAGCTTTATAGGAAATAACGGTATCTTTCTAGATTTGGAAAAACAAGTCAATTTGTTGTGACATCCTTTAAATATTAGATTGTGCCGGAATGTTTCTCTTAATATTACATACAATCAAATTATAGGTATGAACTCAGGTACGGTATGATACATTTTACATTATTGTACTGTAAGAACGATTGACTTTTGCTATCTAGGAATTTGAGCTAAGTAATCTGGGATCATTTGATTAAACTTCTATTAGCATGGCGATTGCAACTCAGATAATTAGAAAATAAACTAAATGGAAAAATCACGCAAGTCTGCAGAGTTAACCCCGAAGAGGGAACAAAATTTTACTTCGAGATCACAGGAAATATGTTTTTACCTTTGCCACATCAATAGATTGACAATCCATAGCTGCAACAGCGACCTGCTCATATAGGGTCCATTCTGCAATATTTAGGTTGCAGAGAATAAAGGTTTATCAGAGATTTCATCCAGTCACATGATGCTAGAACGAAGTCTATGGACCAATCAATCAAAAACAATAACAAAAAGAGAGAGATACCACAGGTCCCAAAACCCAAAATCTCAACTTCGACACGAACCAATTCTTCAATTTGCCACTTTGATGGATCCTAGACTACCCAAATCAGTACAAAAACTCAAGTTTTCCAGTCCCAAAATATTACCCAATTGCCACTAACTTGAACCCTAGAAAACCCAAATTAGTACAAAATCCCAAATTCCCCAGTTCCTAATAGTAGTTAATTTCCACTTTCTTCAATCGTAAACTACCAGACCAAACAAACAAAGATCAAAAACAGGATTTCCGTCTTATGGGTCAAATTAGATATACCTTCAGGTCCAAGAGCCGATCTCTTTTTGGAATCATTGAGAATGGAAAGCCCATGCTTCAACACCATATCAGATCGACGGAGCTTGAGTTTATGGACAAGACAAAGATATTCCCAAACACCTCCTCCTCCATTCTCTACTTGATTCTCCAATCTGTTCACCTCTTCTTCTTCTGTTCTTGTTACCATCTTCTTCTTCTTCTTACCCTCTATTCAATTCTCCCCCCTACTTCAAAGTGCTGCTTATGCTACTGCTGTCGCCGTGTTGTGCAGGGTATCTACTAGGGAAGGCAAGGCCGGTTTATTGGATCTGCTTTTGTTTGACTCCCCCCACACTGCCCACTGGCTCCTCTCTAATCTCACATGGTAGGAAAAAGACGATTTTACCCCCATATTTTATTAAATTGTGATTTTTTAAAAATCATATATATATATATATAAATCTTAGGCCTGCCTATGTGGCGCCACCACAGACGAAAATTCCCTTTTAATTTATTTATTTGCAAAACTAACCTTCCCCTTTCATGAAAAGTTGTGAAATTTATGAAAAATTGCTACTTTAATGAAGAGTTGCGACTTTTATGAAATGCTGTGACTTTTATGAAAAGTTGTGACCTTTCCGAAGGGTTGCAACATTTTCAAATAGTTGTAACATTTCCGATAAGACACAATAAACATTTGTTCACACTACCCTTTGTTATCTATTAATAGAGGGATTTCCTCTCTTTTTAAAAACAACGAAAAATTTGAACCTCTTCTTCTTCACAATTAAATATTTGTGTACTTTGCTCCTGTTGAGTGGCTCACTGACACTATTGCTTATGTTACAGATCCTGATATGTATTTTGACAGTCATTAATTTATGCTTATGTTCTAAAGGATAAATGATAAGATGTAATAATTTTCATTTTCCTTTACATTATTAATATTTGTTACTATGTAATCTTGTATGTAAGCTAATATAGTGTTTTAGTTTAATTAATGACTGATAGGTTTTAAGTATTATAAATTCCATGATATTAAATGCATGGGTAATTTTACTAGTATAAAATAATTATCATTTGACTAATTTATCTTTTTCGATAAGAAATTACTTTAATTTATATGAATATATATATCCTTGTAAAAGTTTCACTATATCAATGTGTTTACCTTGTATACAATAGTTACAAATTATTACGGTTAGAGGGGTGAAAAAATCGTTAACCATTGACTAGAAATATTAAGATCTCATAGTTCACATGCTTTAGAAGTTTCATTATAAGTGGACACTCAAAATTGGATGTTCAAAGAAGGATCCATTGGAATTTTGAGTATTAAGTGTTGTTAGACTTAAAACAAGAAGTTACTGAAATGAATATTTTTGAACATTTGATGTTCCCTTGTTTTATGGGCAAATCTGGTAAATCACCCAGCTTTAAACTCAACATAAGACATAATTCTAAAGCCAGAGTCATCTTTAACCATAGAAACTTTGTAGTTAATTATTTGTTCACTTAAATATTTGCCATTTCTAGACAATTATTTTTTCTCATAAATCCTTGCACACTATCTGCTACAATGGAAAAAGATTTGGATTACATGTTTTGTTCAAACAATGAAATGAAATGAGAAGTACATTTTTCAGGGGCTGCTCATGTTAGCTTCTCTTTACATATGTAGTAAACTATAGTGCTACCTGCTTATTTTCCTACTCTACAAAATTCCAAGGTCAATTCGTCAGAAAGGACAAGGTACAACAAGATTCTACATTTTGCCTAACCATGCTCCATTCTTAGTTCATAATCCTTCAACCAATCGACCACTACACAAAGATATGGCTACAACAGTCCACTTCGACACATTCTCGCTTGGGATGACCAAGAAATAGTCCGCTATACAGCTCACATTGATGAGGACCTACGCTTAGATTGTCGTTTCCGCTATACAATTTACCTCCAGCATTGTTTCTAGTCTAATTCTCTATAGCCTCTTGTGGTTTCAAGTGCCTTATTCTTCTCATTTTCCCTTTTATCTTGATACCGGTGGTGTTCAGGCCAGTTTGTGCATCTTGATAGCTCGAATATTCCACAGGCTATCTCCCACCGGCATATGTACTGAAGAACTCAGCCCTTCAAGGCTCAAGACAGGTGAGGAGAAGTCGCCTAGCAGTTTTCTGTCTCAGCTGGAATTTCAACACTGATCTCCAGTAGTTAAGCGCTTAACTTTTCTCTTTTCTAGAGCACTTCACACTTCATCTGCAAAATACAATTTACTTTTAAACTATTGTACTACTAAAACTCACGGAATGCTCATTACAAGATTATGAAGCAATTCTTGACACCAAAAAAAGGAATTGATTTTTGGCATGAACAATAATAATAATGTGAAACTTCCGAAGTGCCGGTCACATCATACCTATCGTTCTCTTGACAGTTCAAAGTAGGCTGCCGAAGAGAATAGTATTTTAAGTATTATAATCATCACATGTTCAGGCAAGGAGAGTGTACCTAGCGTTTGGAATAAGCAAGAGTATAGATCCTCTTGATGTTCAAGAAGTGGCTGCTTGCAAGCTGGAATCCATGGCTTTAAGGCAAAAAGTGAGTTATGTCTAATTGATAGTGGCTTGGCTCTCTTTGCTTTATGTCAAAATCAGCTGCAGGATAATACGAATAGGAAGAAGTTAGTGAGTTTGTGTTAATATTACAAAGTACTAAACTTCTATACAATACCTAATAGAGTGAAGTTTTACCTTATCCAGTGGTCCTTATTGAATAATACTTGCACGTTACATTCTACCCTTCTTATTCCACGAAAATTCTAGGAACCCTGACATGAGCAACTTGAGAAATGGTTAAAAGGTATTAAGATGATGGTCTGTTTTGAATGCAATTCAATGAGTGTGCGCATACTCATAGGTTTGAATGAGCAAAACATTTTTTTTTCATTTAATTTGCAAAAAGAAGCCAGATTACAGAATGCCATCAAGTGATAACTTCATTAAGTTGATATCTTTTCCCTATTTGTTTACTGATAAAAAAATTAAGAAATAAAGCAAATCTGGTACCTTTTCCTTCGGTTGCTGCTTTTTTGCAGCAGATTGTAGAGAGGTGGACCTGTGAACTCATGACACCAGTCAAATTGCAAGCACCAACAGCGGCAGCATTACCTGGTTTTATGGTAAGCAAATTCAATTTCAAAATTCAGAGGCATAAACACAGAACCAATGCATGATGTTGATAGCACATACATAAAAGACAGTTTAGAATGTTCAGAATTCATCGTCATTTTTACTTCGCGTATCAAACAGTTCATCCAATACATAATAGAGCTCCATAGAAGTATTAAAATAACATTAGTTGGTAGAAAAACTATATTTTCATTCTATCCAGCTTAGTTTTGCATAGGTTACCTCTTTAACATCTTCTATATCTTTTGAACTTTGGAACGAGATGGATATACTGTCCTTTATCCACCATATGTCTTATTACTTCATGAGCTTTAGACAGCTTTCCAGCATTTTTCAAGTAACTGACTAAAGTACTATACACCATAAAATTTGGATTACAACCCCTCAATTCCATTTCTTTCACCATCATGCACGCCTCATCAAATTTCTCAGCCATACAGAGCCCACGGATCATGGAATTGTAAGTAAACACATTTGGCAACTGTCCATTGACGATCATGTCAGTAAATAGTTCTTGAGCTTTATCAAGTTCCCCAGCCACAACATATCCTGTTATCATAACAGTGTAACACACAACATCAGGCACACAGCCTTGCCTAATCATCTCTTCAAAGAAATATTTGCATGCATCCAAATTACCGGCCCGACTTAGCCCATCAATCAAAGTGGTAAAATGGAGAATGCTTGGTTCATAACCAACTTCTTTCATGTGGTTTAGAAGGTTGACTGCTGCTAGCGGTTTGTCTCCTTTACCAAGAACATGAAGAAGGATGTTAAATGTGTAAAAATCAGGTGAAAACCCATTCCGACCCATTTCATCTAATAATCTATGAAACTGATCCAGCTTTCCCAGCCTATATTTCGAGCATAGCAGAATGTTATAAGTTAAAATATCAGGAATATGACCTTCAACCAACATTTGTTGATACACCCACTCAATTAACCTGTACTGATTTACACCCAGAAGGGAATGCAAAATTGCATTAAATGAATGCCTGAATGGTCTATAATTGAATGTCTTTGACTTAATAAACCTCTCTACTACTTTTCTAGCCAAACCTGCCTCTCCACAAGTACATATCAACAAATTAAATGTCCTAGCAGTTGTAGGGTATCCTTTCTCAATCATCTCATCTACCAATCTCCACATAGCCTTGAATTCGTCAGACTCTGCAAAAATCTTCATTATCAGATGGTATGAATTTGCTGTATGTCGGTAATTTTCTTGTTGACCAGACCATACAAAAAACTTGTACCCCAGCTTTGCACACCTATTTTTATTTGCATAATTTATTGTTTTCAAGATACCTAGAAGAACCTCTCTCACAAGCAGGCTTGAAACTGTAATATGAGAATTATCTAAAGCTGCTTTTGCATCAAATCCTGGACCATCTTGTTGAAGAATTTCAAGAATCATACTAGCCTCATTTCTCACTTTCTCAATAAAGTTGTGCCTACTTGCAAAATTTTGTTGGAAATGGCCTTCATAGCAGCCATTGATTCCAATAAAGTCAACATTATCCTTCATACTATTATCGGAGTTGATACTCTTCCAGCTCTCGTTCAAGTAATCCTCAATTTTTCCAAAACCATTTCCAGTGCCATCAGTGTTAGATTGTTGATTACATAAAAACCGTGAAAAGCTGCTAAAATATGAGAATCTTTGAATAACTCTTTGACCAAAGAGAGCTACAGAATACATGCTAGTCTCTTGAAAATACAATAACAAGAAACGATAGTGAGCAAGCCATCACTTTCTCTGCATACAAGAAAGGAAAAAGACGCATGACATCAGTTAAAATAACCAAACATATTATCATTATAGATTCCACTAGATATTAATAACTCAAATAAAATTCTTTAATTACCACTACACAACCTAGCCCATTTGTGTTCACTTAGCATTTCAATCTCATTATTCACAAGCATTGAATTTTTCAGAAATCATATATAAGAATTAATAACATCATTTTACATTTATCTGAATGCTTATTGAACAATTACAAATTCATGTTGCACTACTACTTAAATAAAAATTCTTTTAATTATTCAATTAGGCAAAGCATAAAGAAGTAAAAAGATCCTTCTCTGAGAAAATGCAAAAGTCCTATGAGTCTCTTTTAAGATAAGCATATGAATTGCTTATTAGAGAAAAGATATTTCATATGCATTAGTGGCTATACCTTAGGATTATCTTTTTTTCTTTCTCATGTACTCATACAAGATTATCAGTAATCACATCAGGTAGAATATGCATATAGATAGAGGACAAAAAAGAAAAGAAAAATGTGGCATTACATAGTAAAGGTAGATCATTTGATCATGCCTTATTCTGACATGAACACCAAATGCAGGTGACCACAACATGACTACTGAATGTGTTAAGGGGAATTAGGTAGACCAATAATCATATTAAGGAAAGATGCCTTAAAGGATCTATAATCTCTTGTAATTCTTAAGAACTTAGTGAAGAACATAACACAAGCATAATATCCATATAGGATCCTGCACTGAAACCACTTAACCGAGGGGAAGCATAAAGTATTTCGCACCTAGCTCAGGGCTTTAACAATCTCCTTTAGTTTCAACTAAAGTTCTCTGTAAGAATCTGCGGTATACCCTGGTCCTGGATTTAGGTTAAATTACCTTTTCTCCATCAAAAGCAACAACAACTCTGCTTCAACCCCCATCTAGTTGGAGTCAACTATACGCACCGTCATTTTTCATTAACCATTTCGCTCACTATAGGTATTTTTCATTCCAATACTTAAAAATTTCTCTTTGAGGAATAACGAAGGTTCTCCACCAATAAGGATTCTTTAAATTTCATACTTATCCCCACTGTCATATAATCCCTCTCCAAACTCCATCAAACACCGGACTTAGTGTAAGTGTATTAAGTTGTGCTACAGAACCTAGGCAAGCAAGACATTCTATCCTTACCAAATTGCTCCAAGTCTACCTTAGAATCTATCAATGGAAACTAAATCATATTAGAATCTTCAAATCACATCTCTTCAAACAGAGAGAAAATGCAAGAAAACCCCTGCACCCCACCCCAACAAAAAAACCAAAATACTTAAAGCTGAAACCTTTATCCCTTTAGCTACCTCGACAACAAATCTGTACGGTCTAGATATACATATATCTACACTAATGTGCAAATGCAGGAAAAAATACAGATCTTGTAATAAGCTCGAAACCAAAGGAATCATTGAAATAGCTCAGAAAATTGTGGAAAGCAAGGGAAGAAACCTACAGATTGAAAGAAATATAGGGCTATTAAGGAGGGAGTCATTGACGGAGCGAGCGAGGGAGCATCGACCGGCGACTACCGGCGCCGGAAGCATCGGCCGGCGGGAGAAGTTGAAGTAGCAGTGGTAATTGAGTTTGCTTGGGGGCTCCAACGGCTGCGCAGAGTGAAGAGCGAAAGGGAGCAAAGGTTAGAGTGATGCTCTCTAAGTGTTATTTAAATGCTGAAAATTGTTTTGTAAAATTAATTAGATATATTTTTAATATTTTTCTTCAAATAAAATTCTCTATTATTAGTTGGGTAATATGGCTATCATTTTTTCACATATGGATAATAGTACTATTATATTATATATATATATATATATATATATATATATTGAATGATTTCAATGTAAATAAAATAACACTCCATACTAATAACATTTGTATTAAAATTAAAAAAACAAAAATATTCATTATGATTTCACTTATTTTAGTTACCTAACTTTATAAATCTCTAGTATCAATTTCAATGGTAAAAGATATTAAGAAAGAATTTTCAAATTTAGAAAGTAAAAGCAATATTTTGTATCATTTTATCCTGTATTATAATTTATATAGTAGTAAACTTTGTGGTAAATTTGTTCTTTGTTTGAGATTATTAGAATTTATATTTATTTTTTCAACATACTTATTATTATGAGAAATGAAAAAGAAAATGGAAATACAGTTACAATTTTTTTTTTTATGAAAAGTGAAGATTATTATGTTACATAGTATTAATTCATGGTGTATTTGTTTATTTTATAATTCCACCTTTTTAGATCAACGCCTATGTTTTTTGGCTTATTTCTCATGATAAATCCTTTCAGAAAAATAATTGGAAAAAAAACAAAATATGCATCTGCTTAAATTTTAAACCATAATTGAGAAAAAAAAACACAGAAATATGTCCAGGAGGTGTACATATAGACCGATGAAAGAATTCAGTCAATTAGAACAAACACTATGAAACAAAGATGATATAGTATTAAACAAAGTAGAATTCATGATAAATTACACCAAAATAAAATCTTGATACAATAAATCAAATTGATGGAGATCTCAAGGATCTTACTTAAATCTCCAAAAGATAATATTACGAATTATTAATACAAAAAAGAACACACAACAATCAAAGCCGCTCATTTTAGGAAGCATAAAAGGAAATGGAAAACCCCGAAGGTGGTGGAAAATGATTGAAAAGAATGGATTTGACTACTAGTAATAGGTTGCTGGTGGGGGAGATGGTGATGGGGGTGGAGGTGAAGCATAGGTGGCAGGTTCCTTGTACTTCTCAGGTGGTGGCGGTGAAGCATAGGTGACAGTTTCCTCGTACTTCTCAGGTGGTGGCGGTGAGGCATAGGTTGGTGTTTCTTTATAGTACGGTGGTGGTGGAGGTGAGTAGTATGTAGGTGATTGTTCATAGGTCTTTGGAGGAGGTGGAGAAGATTTATAGGAAGGTGTAGATTCTTGATAGTATGGTGGAGGTGGAGAATTGTAATAAGTTGGTGGCTGCTCGTAGTATTTTGGTGGAGGTGGGGGTGACTTGTAATATTTTGTTGGTGAAGGTGACTTGTAGTAGTTAGATGGAGTGGGTGATTTGTAATATTTTGTTGGTGAAGGTGAATTATAGTATTTAGATGGAGTGGGTGATTTGTAATATTTTGTTGGGGATGGTGATTTGTAGTAATAGTGTGTTGATGGAGTAGGTGACTTGTAGTACTTTGCTGGAGATGGGGACTTGTAGTACTTTGCGGGCGATGGGGACTTGTAGTCATACTTAAAAGGAGCGGGTGATTTGTAATAATGCTTTGAAGGAGTTGGGGACTTGTAGTAATACTTTGTTGCAACCGGTGACTTGTAGTAGTGCTTTGAAGGAACATGTGAAATGTAATACTTGGTTACAATGGGTGACTTGTAGTAGTAATGCTTTGAAGGAACATGTGACTTGTAATATTTAGCTGGTGATGGTGATTTGTAATAAGCGTGCTTTGAAGGTGCTGGTGACTTGTAGTAATAATGTGATGGATAAGGTTTCTTGTAATAAGGAGCGGGCACATGATAGTTGGATGGAGATGGTGATTTGTAATACTTGTTAGAGTTGTGAGAAGGTGAGGGTGAAGTATACTCATAAGAGTAATCAGCAACAACAGTGCTGGCTACTAAGCAAATTGCCAAAGCAACTGTTAGAAAAGACCATTTCCCCAACTTCCCTAAGCTTTCCATTTTGATTTGTAACAAATTATACTTAGAGAAGTGAAGGATAGAACTAAAGACTTGTGTTGCATAGCTGAATAGGGAGCTCTGGTTTTTATAGAGCAAAATGACACTATTTTCAACATTAATGTAATAGCTTTAGTTGCCCACTTGCCCACTAATCTGAGAGCAAGGTCCAAATAAAGACTTTAATCCGTACTAAGTGGTAGCCATTATCTGCTGACAAATGATAATTCAAATAAAATATTTAAAAAATAAAAACAAAGAGGAAGATAGTAGTTAAAGATAGACTATTTCTTAACAATAAACAGAACAAAGAAATGGGGGAATTTTCTTTGTTGTTTTCTCAATGCCAGAATCTGTAAGTTGACTTATAATCTAGAGTTTGGCATTGTCCCCATCTCAAAATAAAAGCAGAAGAAGAACAATACTGTAATGGCCATCAGCAATGGGGCTCCTATACCAACAAAGTCTATATGAGATCACGTCAAAGCAACCAGAAAAAACAGAAATTTCGAAAATTGTTACAAAATGTTACTGTCATAAAGTTCCTATGTGTTAAAAATTAAGAAATGCTATACATATTGGCAGTTCGGTTCAGTTTCAGATCAACTCTTTTCAGATTAATACCACAAGAAACCTAGTTGGATAATATGTCACCTTGCATACAAGTGATCTCAACTCTCAAGAGATTAAACAAAAGAAGGAACAAAGCTTCCAACCAAAATAGATAAGACTTATTTAACTGCTATCTGATAGGTTTGAGTGACTTTGAATGCATCACTTCTGACTCTATAAATTTTTCACATTTCTTGCTCAGATGTGTTTAAAATTAACGACTGAGGCAGTAACTCCTCTCTCGACCAGACAAGAGAAGTAGAGCATAGTGCCATGCCAAACATCTCGCTGAAAAATCACATTAATCAGAAGACATATGGTACATTAAGCAGACGGTGTTCTTTTCAGGACTTCTTCATGGTGCTCATCCTTCAATTCCCTAGTTGTTTAAATTTCCAAAAAGAAAATTGGTTTTACTAATTACACGAAACAAGCTGGGTATACAAAATACAGCAGAAAAATGGATGTGCACATCATATGGTTTCATTCTGTATATATGACTTCCGAACTATTAGATGCTTCTGAATAATGGGATTGAGTACTAAATGAACACTAATGGGCTGGTTGTGTAGGCTTTACTATGAGTTTGGTAAACACCAAAGTACTTATAAGTCAAGTATTTGTAAGTTAAATCAATCAAAAGCCATAGTTGGCCATCACCAACTTATGATTTTGCACCTTACACTTTTGCTTCGATAAAATATTTTACTATTTTATCCTTAATATTTGTTTTTCTAATTTTCAAAGTATCTTTCTCAAAACAAAACTCCTAACTTTCTCTTCATTTTGTATCCCATTGTTCTTCCTCTTCTTTACAAGAATACTCCTAAATTATAACACTTTCTAAAAAATTTAAGGATATTCTAATCATTCTAACAAAAGAACATTTTTTATTCCAACAATTCTATCCAAACACGTAATTATTCAATTATAAAATCAGTTCCAGTACTTAAAATTTATTAGTTATTTACAATCAATTAATCTAAACGGGCTCTTACATAGGGCTAATTCATGGAGTCTTTATCTGTAATTCAACCTTTAAAGATCACATTATATCATTTGATTTATTTCCCACTGATAATTCTCTAAGAAAAATAATCAGGATTAAAGAAGCAGCGCAGGAATTCTATAAAAACCTCTACAAAGAGACTGAAGGGTGGAGACCTGATCAAAGAATATTAGATGTTTCAAGAATTTCTGCAGAAGAGCAGGTGTGGCTGCAAAGACCCTTTGAGGAGGAGGAAATTTTGGGAAGCTTAAACATGTGTGCAAAAGAGAAAGCACCTGGCCCTGACGGATTCCCAATGATGTTTTTCCAAACTTTTTGGACCCTATTGAAGGAAGATATTATCAAAACTATTCAGTTTTTTCACTCCAATCAAGTTTTTGAAAAGAGTTTTAATGCAACTTTTATTGCTTTAATTCCAAAGAAAGCGGGAGCCTCCAATTTGAAGGATTTTAGACCAATCAGCTTAGTAGGGGGTGTCTACAAACTCATTGCTAGGCTGTTGGCTGAACGATTGAAGCAAGTGTTGGATAAACTGATCAACAAACATCAGATGGCTTTTGTGAAGGGGAGACAAATCATGGATACTGCACTCATAGTTAGTGAGTGCATTGACTCCAGAATAAAGGAAGGAAGCCCAGGCTTAATGTGCAAACTGGATATCCAAAAGGCTTTTGACCATGTAAATTGGTCTTTTCTCTTAAATATCCTTAGCCAGATGGGCTTTGGGGACAAATGGCTGAAGTGGATTGAGACATGCATCAAAACTGTTAAGTTCTCTGTGCTTGTGAACGGAGAACCTGTGGGTTTTTTTGAATCAGAAAGGGGACTGAGACAGGGTGATCCTCTCTCCCCTTTCCTGTTCATCCTAGCAATGGAGGGATTTAATGCTATGATGAGGATTGCTACACAAAATAGATGGATCAAAGGCTTCAAAGTGGGAGGCAGAGGGGGGGAAGAAAGAGAAATTGGTCATATGCTCTACGCAGATGATACCATCATCCTTTGTGATCCTGTAGAAGAACAGATAAGCTACATTAGAGTGATATTGGTACTTTTTGAAGCAGTCTCTGGATTGAAAGTGAACTGGGGAAAAAGTAGTCTCTTCCCTGTGAATGAGGTACCTCAGATAAAAGAGATGGCAGGCATACTAGGGTGTAGTGTTGGGAAGCTGCCTACCACCTATCTAGGCATGCCATTGGGTAACAATCACAAAGCCTTGGAAATATGGGATGGTATTTTGGAGAAAACTGAAAAGAAGCTCTCTGGATGGAAGGCTCAATATCTTTCACTTGGAGGACGATTGATCTTAATAAACTCTGTTCTTGATTCTCTGCCCACTTATGTGATGTCTCTATTCCCAATCCCAGGAAAAGTAGTGGAAAATCTGGATAAGCTAAGGAGAAAATTCTTATGGCAAGGCAACAAGGATGGAAAAGGCTATAGCTTAGTAAACTGGGAAACTGCTCTACTTAGCAAAGACAGAGGGGGCCTGGGAATTAAGAATTTGAAACTACAGAATGAGAGCCTATTGAAGAAGTGGTTGTGGAGGTACACTGAAGAGAGAAATTCCCTTTGGAAAGAGGTGATCATAGCAAAATATGGTGAGTTAAACCCTTGGTGTACAGAGACCACAACAGAACCTTATGGTGTGGGTGCATGGAGATCAATTAGAAACTTGTGGTCACAAATGGAGACAAATTTATATATCAAGGTGGGAAGTGGCACTAAAACAAAATTTTGGAAGGATGTTTGGATAGACCAATCCCCTCTTAGAGATCTCTTTCCAGATCTCTTTCAAATTTGTGGAAATCCTGATGCCAATGTTGGCGATTGCTGGACTGAACAGGGCTGGGATCTAGTTTTTAGAAGACTTCTCAATGATTGGGAGGTGGAAAGGGTGGCTGAGATATTAGGGATGCTAGGCGGAGTGACCATCAATGCAAATGCCACAGACAGGATGTTGTGGAAGCACAGCAAAGATGGCCTCTTCTCAGTCAACAGTGCTTACAGAAGAGGTCTCCAGGTGATGGCAGGGAGACCAACACACCTCTGGAACTATTTTTGGAAGGGGGATATTCCTACAAAAGTGAAATGCTTCACTTGGCTAGTGATAAAGAGAGCTTGTTTAACACAAGAAGTACTTCAGAAGAAGGGTAGACAGCTGGTCCCTAGGTGTTTTTTATGCAATTTGACAAGCGAAACTAACAGCCACCTCTTCTTGCACTGTAATTACACTGCTCAAATCTGGAATTTGTTCCTTAGCATCTCAAATCTGAATTGGACAATGCCAGAACGTACATCAGACGTGTTGAAGAGCTGGGTAAGGAGAGGGGGTACCAAGAGCCAGAAGAGATGGTGGAGGCTAATACCATCATGTATATGGTGGTCAATCTGGAAGGAAAGGAACAGTAGATGTTTTGACAATAGATCCAATTCCATACACAAGGTCAAATGGAATTGTATAGTATCTCTACTTTTTTGGTGTAAACAGTTGTGTATAGTAGATACAGATCAGATTGTAGATTTGATAGGAAGTTTGTAATTGACACTTTTTGGTGGTGGCCAGCATGCCCTTAATGCTGAAGAATACAACCTTACCAGTTTCAAAAAAAAAAAATTCTCTAAGAAAAATAATGGGAAAAAAATGCATACCCCTAAATTAAAATTCTCCTAATTCCTTTATTGTTATGTTTATTTTATATGATTTATTTCTCAAAAGCTGATAAGTACAATAACAATCCAAAATACAGTAATAGACACCAAGTCAAACAAGACAATTTGTTGTGCACGGACATATCTTGCACCTTTCCTCATTCTTTTTTCTTTTGTCTTGTTTACCTTTTGTAATAAATAAGTTATAAACCATAATTGAGAAGAAAATCATCTAGAGACAATAAACTGAGATGCCCCTCAGATATATTAGACAAAGAGAAGATTGTATTGAGCAAAGTATAATTCTTGATGAAATACACAAAAAAAAATAAAAAAATCTTGATACAATAAGACAAACTGATGGAGATCTCAACGATCTTACTTAAATCTCCAAGAATAAATATTACATATTATTAAAACAAAAGAACATACAACAAGCAAAGCCGGGCATATTTGGAAACACAATTTGTTTGGCAAAGGAAGTGAAAATCTTCCGATGAAGGATGAAAGAGAGTTAATAGGTCATGGAGATGATGGGAAATGATTGATGATAATGATTTGAATGTTAGTAGGTTGGTGATGGGGGTGGAGGTGAAGCATAGGTGACGGATTGCTCGTATTTCTCAGGTGGTGGTGGTGAGGCATAGGTTGGTGTTTGCTCGTAGTATGGTGGTGGTGGTGGTGAATAGTATGATGGGGATTGTTCATAGGTCTTTGGAGGAGGTGGTGAATTGTAGGTCGAAGGTGATTGTTCATAGGATTTTGGAGGAGGTGGAGGAGATTTATAGGAAGGTGTAGATTCTGAGTAGTATGGTGGAGGTGGAGATTTGTAATAAGTAGGTGATTGCTCGTAGTATTTTGGTGGAGGTGGTGGAGATTTGTAAGATAATGGCGATTGTTCATAGTATTTTGGTGGGGGAGGAGGTGAGTTGTAGTAAGAAGGTGATTGCTCATAGTATTTTGGTGGAGGTGGAGGTGACTTGTAGTACGAAGGTGATTTCTCGTAATAAGTTGGTGGTGGTGGAGACTTGTAGTAAACTGGTGACTTGTAATATTTTGTTGGTGAAGGCGACTTGTAGTAATAATGTGTTGATGGAGTTGGCGACTTGTAATACTTTGCGGGCGATGGAGATTTGTAGTAACTCTTTGATGGAGTTGGGGACTTGTAGTAATACTTTGAAGGAGAGGGTGACTTGTAATAATGATTTGAAGGAGTAGGAGACTTGTAATACTTTGTTGCAACTGGTGACTTATAGTAGTGCTTTGAAGGAGTTGGGGACTTGTAGTAATACTTTGTTGCAACTGGTGACTTGTAGTAGTGCTTTGAAGGAACATGTGACTTGTAATACTTGGTTACAATGGGTGACTTGTAGTAGTAATGCTTTGAAGGAACATGTGACTTGTAATATTTTGCTGGTGATGGCGATTTGTAATAAGTGTGCTTTAAAGGTGTTGGTGATTTGTTGTAGTAGTGTGATGGATAAGGTTTCTTGTAATAAGAAGTGGGCACATGATAATTGGATGGAGATGGTGATTTGTAGTACTTGTTAGAGTTGTGAGAAGGTGAGGGTGAAATATACTCATAAGAGTAATCAGCAACAACAGTGCTGGCTATTAAGCAAATTGCCAAAGCAACTGCTAGAAAAGACCATTGTCCCAACTTCCCTAAGCTTTTCATTTTGAACTGGAACCACTATATACTTAGAGAAGGAAGGGACAGAACTAAGACTTGTGTTGCATAGTTGAGTAGGGATCTCTGGTTTTTATAGAGAGAAAAATAACACCCTTCTCAACATTAATGTAATAATAGCTTCTTAATTGCCCACTAAGCTGAGAGCAAGGTCCAAATACAGACTTTTATCAATGCTAAGTGGGAGACATTATCTGCTGACAAATGATAATTTAAATAAACTATCAAAAATAAAAACGAAGAGGATATATATATATATATATATATACCAGAAAGTATTTAATGATTGACTGTTTCTTCACAATACACAGAACAAAGAAATGGAGGCATTTCCTTTGTTGTTTTCTCAATGCCAGAATCTGTAAGTTGACTTATGATCTAGAGTTTGGCATTGCCTCTATCTCAAAAGAAAAGCAAAATTTTGAACAATAATGCAACGACTATCAGCAATAGGCTCTTATACAAACAAAGTCTATATTACATTACATCAAAGCTACCACAAAACACAGAAATTTTCAAAATTGTTAACAAAAAATTAAGAAATGCTATACATATTGTCAGTTTGGTTCGGTCTCAGATCAACTCTTTTCAGATTAATACCACAAGAAACCTAGTTGGATAATGCCACCTTGAATACAAGAGATCTCAAGAGAATTAACAAAAGAAAGAACAAAACTTCCAGCCAAAATAGATACCGACTTATTTAACTGTTATCTGATAGTTTGAGTGACTTTGATTGCAGAACTTATTTGATTAATGAACAAGCTTGATCTTTTTCACTTCTGACTGTATAAAATTTTCACATTTCTTACTCAGATGTGTTTATAATTAATGAAATGAGGCAGTAAATCCTCTCCCTCTCTTGACCAGATAAATCCCAGACAAAAAGGAGTAGAGCATAGTGCAATCCCAAACATCTTGCTGAAAAATCACATTCATCAGACGACTAATGGTACATGAAGTAGACGGTTATATTATGTACTTCTCTACATGATTACAGATACATTGCTTTATAGAACTATGCTGATCGCCACATACAACTGAATGATCTTTAGTATTCTAGTCCTGTTAGCTACTTTGGTTAGGGTGTGCCAATAAGATCATAGTTGACAGTGTAAGACTTTCACCAATAGTCATTACAGGAGCAGAGCCCATCTCTGATATGGTGAAAATGATTAGAATCTCTAAAGATTATCTCTCTTCCCTCCACTGCTGATTTAAACTTCATTGCATTATGGCAATCTCCACATACTCTAACATTTGTTTGGATGTGCTAATAAGACCAAAGGCCACATCAATTTCTCACTGTGCCGGAAAAGAAATTGCTCCTTTTTTTCATCCTCCCCCTCGTGAAGCACGTAACTAAGTGATTCTTACTTAAGTACTACTGATTCAGTTAAAAGTAAAGTGATGTTACTATTTCTTATATATGATTTCCGAACTATTAGATGCTCGTGAATAATGGGATTGAGTACTAAGTGAACACTAATGGGCTGGTTGTGTAGACTTAAAAAGCGCTTCGTAAACACCAAAATACTTATAAGTTAAAATCAGTCAAAAGCCATAAATTGTCGTTAAATTAGGTCTTAGGTCTAACTTACAACCCAAAAGCTAGCTCAAAGGGAGGAGGATTCCCCAAGCCTTATAAGGAGTCCACTCATCTCTTTAACTACCAATGTGGGACTTTTTGCTTTAACACCCCACCAAACTCCCAGTGCGTAGCATCTGGTGTGTGGGCAATTTTTGACCCACCTCACGCCCAGTGCTTAGCATTTGGTGCGTCGGCAATTTTTGGGTAATTTTTGATTTTTTGGGCCCCAACATTGGATAAGATGAACCCTACTCTGATACCATGTTAAATTAGGTCTTAGGCCTAACTCACATCCCAAAAGTTAGCTCAAAGGGAGGAGGATTGCCCAAGCCTATCCCCATTTGTGATTTTTCACCTTATAAGGACTTTTGGTTTGACCTAGTATTTTACTTATTTATCCTTATTTTTTCTAATTTCCAAAGTATCTTTCCCAAAACAAAATTCCTAACTTCCTCTTCATCTTGTATCTGTCGTTTCTTATAAGAATAGTTTTAAATTATAGTATTTTTAAGGATATTCTAGTCATTGTAACAAAAGAACAACTTATCAACATTTTTTATTTCAACAATAATATCCAAACACATAACTATTTATGGATAAACTTAGTTTCAGCACTTTAAAATGTTTTCAGCACTTAAAACTTATCAGTTATTTACAATCAACTCATCCACACGAGTTCTTACATAGGGATAATTCATGATGGAGTCTTCATTTATTTTGTAATTCAACCCTGTTAAGATCAACAGCATTATATCATTGATTTATTTCCACTGATAATTCTCTTTTTAAGAAAAATAATGGGAAAAAAATATGCATACGCCTAAATTAAAATTTTCCTAATTACTCTATTCTTATGTTTATTGGTTATTTAATATAATTTATTTCTCAAAAGCTGATAAGTACAATTACAATCCAAAATACAGCCATAGCCAACAAGTCAAAGAAGAAAATAGGCTGTCAATGAACATATCTTCCACCTTTCCTCATTCTTTTTCTTTTGTCTTGTTAATTTTTGTAGTAAATAAGTAATAAACCATAATTGAGAAGAAAATCCTCTAGAGACAATGCTCTGAGATGCCCTCTCAGAAATATTAAACAAAGAGAAGATAGTACTGAGTAAAGTAGAATTCTTGATGAATTACACAAGAAAAGAATCTTGATACAATAAGCCAAACTAATGGAGATCTCAAGGATCTTACTTAAATCTCAAATGATAAATATTACAAATTACTAAAACAAAAAAACATACAACAAGCAAAGTCGATCATTTTTGAAAACATAAAACTTCGGCAAAGGAAATGGAAATATTCCAATAGAGGATGAAAGAAAGCTAACAGGTCATAGGGAAGGTGGGAAATGATTGAAGAGAATGATTTGAATATTAGTAGTAGGTTGGCGGTGGGGAAGATGGTGACGGGGGTGAAGGTGAAGCATAGGTGACAGATTGCTCGTATTTCTCAGGTGGGGGTGGTGAGCCATAGGTTGGTGTTTGCTTGTAGTATGGTGGGGGTGGGGGTGGGGGTGAATAGTATGATGGTGATTGTTCACAGGTCTTTGGTGGAGGTGGTGATGTGTAGGTTGCAGGTGATTGCTCATAGGATTTTGGAGGAGGTGGAGGAGATTTATAAGAAGGTGTTGATTCTTGGTAGTACGGTGGAGGTGGAGAGCTATAATAAGTTGGAGATTGCTCGTAGTATTTTGGTGGAGGTGGTGGAGATTTGTAAGATGATGGTGATTGTTCATAGTATTTTGGTGGGGGTGGAGGTGACTTGTAGTACTTAGGTGATTGCTCATAGTATTTTGGTAGAGGCGGAGGTGACTTGTAGTATTAAGGTGATTTCTTGTAATAAGTTGGTGGTGGTGGGGGAGACTTGTAATAAACTGGTGACTTGTAATATTTTGTTGGTGAAGGCGACTTGTAGTATTTAAATGTAGCGGGTGATTTGTAATATTTTGTTGGGGATGGTGACTTGTAGTAATAATGTGTTGACGGAGTAGGTGACTTGTAGTACTTTGCTGGCGAGGGGGACTTATAATACTTTGTGGGTGACGGGGACTTGTAGTACTTTGCGGGAGCTGGGGATTTGTAGTACTTTATGGGCGATGGGGACTCGTAGTAATGCTCTGAAGGAGTGGGTGACTTGTAATAATGATTTGAAGGAGCAGGCGATTTGTAGTAATGCTTTGAAGGAACATGTGACTTGTAATATTTTGTTGGAAAGTGTGATTTGTAATATTTTGCTGGTGATGGTGACTTGTAATAAGTGTGCCTTAAAGGTGCTGGTGATTTGTAGTAATAATGTGATGGATACAGTTTCTTGTAATAAGGAGTCGGTACATGGTACTTGGAAGGAGATGGTGATTTGTAGTACTTGTTAGAGTTGTGAGAAGGTGAGGGTGAAGTATACTCGTAAGAGTAATCAGCAACAACAGTGCTGGCAACTAAGCAAATTGCCAAAGCAACTGTTAGAAAAGACCATTTCCCCAACTTCCCTAAGTTTTCCATTTTGATTTGGAACAAATTGTACCCAGAGAAGTGAAGGATAAACTAAGGACTTGTGTTGCATAATTGAGTAGGGAACTCTGGTTTTTATAGAGCAAAGTGAGACCCTTCTCAGCATTAATGCAACAGTATCTTAGTTGCCCACTTGCCCACTAAGCTGAGAGCAAGGTCGTAATAAAGACCTGATCAATACTAAGTGGGAGGCATTATCTGCTGACAAATGATAATTAAAATAAAAACAAAGAGGATCTATATACCAGAAAGTAGTTAACAATAAATGAGCATTTTCTTTGTTGTTTTCTCAATGCCAGAATCTGTAGGTTGACTTGATAATCTAGGGTTTGACATTTCCCCTATCTCAAAATAAAAGCAGAAGAAGAACAAAAATTCAACGGCTATCAGCAGTGGGCTCCTATCTATATAAGATCATGTTAAAGCTACCAGAAAACACAGAGATTTTGAAAATTGTTACAAAATGTTTATGTTATAAATTTCCAATGTGTTAAAATTTAAGAAATGCTATACATATTGGCAGTTTGATTTCGTTTCAGATTAACTCTTCTCAGATCAATACAACAAGAAACCTATTTGGATAATATGTCACCTTGAGTACAAGAGATTAAACAAAAGAAGGAAAAAAACTTCCAACCAAAATTAATACTGACTTATTTTACTGTTATCTGATAAGGTTTAAGTGACTTTGATTGTATTTATTTGGGTAGCTAACTAGTTTGATCTTTTACACTTCGACTTGTAAAATGAAACTTCCACATTTTCTGCTCAGATGTGTTTAAAATTAGCGAATTAGGCAGTAACTCCTCTCCATCTCTCAAGACCTAAAAACCAGACAAGAGAAGTAGAGCATAGTGCAAGGCCAAACATCTAGCTGAAAAA